TGGTGCTTTGTGCACTGTTGATGATTTATGTTTTGCTTGTGACCGTGTTTGGCTTTGATGATGTTTTTTGGCTTAGAGTTTCTCTGGTAGTGTACTGTGTACCAATCCTCCTCGTCCTCTGTTGGTCACCGGGGTATTTATACCCTGCTCGGTGAACCAGTACCCCGGGTTGTTCCATTTTGCTCGGGGCGTTACTGCTGAAATCCTGGGATGGTTCAGTCCCGGGATCCTCGGTCGACGTCCGACCATTTCGCGTGACCCTTGACCTTGTTGTGCGGTGCCTTGACTTTAGGGTTTTAGAAACCCTAGTCTTATTGTGTAATCTTCATGCACTTGGGCCTAATCGGGTCAGCTGGATCAGGCTACCTGGTTGGGCCTGTTGGACTCTGACTTGGACCCTTTTATTCGGACCTGAACTTTGGACCTAAAAAAAATAATAATAATAAAATGTTAATAATATAAAAAAAGAGAAAAGGGAAAAAAATTAATAATAATATATTATATATAAAAAATATTTTTCTAAACCTATATAATATATAATTTCAAAAATATTTTAAAATTATATATTATATACTTTTTAAAAAATGTTTTCAAAATTATATAGTTTTCAAAAATGTTTTTAGAAAATTATATATTATATATAAGTTTTCAAAAAAATGTTTTATATAATATATGTTTTTAAAACTATATATTATATATATTTTTAAAATGTTTTAAAAACTATATAATATATAAATGTTTTCAAAAATGTTTTATATAATATATGTTTTTAAAATGTTTTAAAAACTATATATTATATATACTTTCAAAATGTTTTAAAAACTATATAATATATAAATGTTTTCAAAATATTTTTCAAAACCATATACTATATAGATTTTAAAAACGTTTTCAAAAACTATATAATATATATTTATTTTCGAAAATCGTTTTTCCGAAAATTATACATTTTATTTTGTTAAAATATTTTCAAAAGCTGTATTACTATATACACACACATATATATATATATATATATATAATAAAATAGGAATATATATATAAAAACAAAAATTACTCTGGGCGAAAATAAGTGTCTACACATAGTGATGTATTCATTATCACCACATAATTCAAACCAAAAAGGGAAATTATTTTCATCATTCGAGCATATACAATTTGGAAGTAGGAATAATTTAATCATGTCTGTTTTAAGTTTTTAATAATAAAAATATTTTGCAGTAAAATAGAAGGTTATTTTTCCTAAAAATTTTGAGTTCGAACAGTTATGTCTGTAGAGTATATACATGTTATCAATAAATTAAAAAATTTTTAAAATAAATATTATCTTGTAATCATCTTATACTATTAAAAAAAGTTTGCAAAAGATCCATCCCACGGTGAATTTAACAAATTCTAGAACTGAACGGCAAAGTGGGTAAAATGACGTTACTTTCTTTATTTGTATTAAAACATAAAAGATGTGTATTATTTGTTATTAGTCTCACAACTGGAGACTAATTAGAGTGGTGTATCCTAAGTTGTATCTTTATATCTTAAGATGGAAATGTGGGAAATTTTATTAATGTATGAAAAGATGCTACATGCATACCATCTTTCGCCCACAAAATTCAGATGTGGACATGGTAGTTGAATTGAGCAAAAGAGGTGATGTATTATTAATGAGCATGTTTGTGGTTTTCCTTTTTGATGTATAATTTCCCGTGACCGAGAGTCAAAAACAAAAGATGAGAATGGAGATTTTGTCATATTATAAGGTCTCTCTCTCCACTTCAATAGAGAAACAGAACAACTCATAGAGTGGTCCTTACCTTTGTCCCTCTACCTATATATACATCACCTATTGCTTTCTTTTCTATTTGTCTCTCCAACTCTGATATTTTGGCCTTTTTCTCTCTTGTTTTAGTCATTGCTTACGATAATATTTATAGGAATTATTGCAAAGTTTGAGCTATTACCAAAACATCTTCATTTGCATTTCTTTAAGCATCACGTATGTATTGTGCGCATCGCCGTCGGCCCACCAAAGCAGAAGCAGAGGGCATCCACCTGCTACTGCTCACACCATGGTTGCATTTATTTGCATGGGATTTTGTCTCATGCGTACGCTTTTTTAGGGGGAAATATTGTAGACATAATAATAATAAAAATGTCATAAATCAGTCTTAAAATCGAAAACACCACCCATGACTTTTCTTATGTCGTTAAATTAAATTTACTAATCACAATCAAACATAAAAACGCTAACCTTAACCAGCAAAACTTCTCAAACATCCCACAAGCATTTTAAATAATTTTAAAACTGCCTTATAATCATCCAATCTATCAAAAAATAAATAAATATGTATCAAACATTTAATTCTATTTAATGATCAAAACACTAAAAGGAAAAATGTGGTGTTGTTTTTGACCAAAGACGCAGCGTCGGTTTCATTAATGTTCATGTCGGGGTATACCATAAAGTGCATCACTTTGTCATAGTCTTGGTGAAGCCAATTTCACCATTTGGCATTTGTTTTGGCTAGAATGAATCTCCATTGGACTTTGGGAATTTTTTAACACAGTATAAATTATAATTTAACACACCATTCATTCCGTGGGTCACAAATATTTTCCAACATTTACGTAAAATATAATGATTTTACGCAAAGGGCGTAAGACAACGTTTTATAAACAAAATATTAATGAATTATTTATAAATTTATTGGGCTGAAATAAGAGACCCAATTATCAACAATATCAATTTGTTGAACACATGAAGCTAAGGAATCAAGTGGGCCTTCTGTAGAATGTGAAGATACACAAAATGGTTCAACCCGAAACTCTCCCTGCCAGACCAAATTATTTTTTGAAAATAGATAAAGAGAAATTACAATCACTATTTTTCAAATAAAAAAATGGTAAATGCATTTATATAAAAAAATAATTTAAGATATAAATTTATATATTTTATATTAGTTAAACATTCAAATAATATTATATATATATATATATTCAAATAATACTTTAATATTTAATTTAATTTAATTTATTAGTATTATGTCTATGATGTCTTTAATAATATTTTTGAATATATTAACTAATAGATTTAGTTTATTATGTAATTCTGACTGAGATAACGCAAATTTGATTTAGATATGAACACACAAATTTGACTTGCAAGTTTAAGTCAATAAAAATATAATAAGTTACTCAAATTTACTCGAATTTAATTCGACAATGAACATGTTATAACTTAAAATTACGTCCACTTAAAAACAATATTTTTACTGAAACTTAACATTACATTATGTACTATGTCAAAGGTAAATAGTATAAGATATTTACTTATGTATTATTTAAATAATATTTAATATACGATTTTTGTCATATTTAGATAGCACAACGAAAATAAATTTATAATTTTTTATATAAATATTTATAATTTAATATTTCATTATAAATACAATTTGTTAAAATTTAATTCTAAGTAAACTTATTCTCTCTTAACTGTTATTTTTACATTTTTTAAATAAATAAAATGAAATAATATAGTGTATCATATAATATTATATTTGAACATTTTTATTTTAAAAAAATAATCATAGACCCGTTAATGAATTACATCTTTATTTTTGTTAAAAATAGACATCAATTAAATTTGACCATTAAATGACATCTGTCATTATACATTTTAAAAACAATTAAAATATTTATTACTATATTTAATGAAAGTCACTAGGATTATAAGATGATATTTGAAAATCGTCAAAATTGTAAGACAATTTCTATCTAAAATCATGTTCATATATGTCGGCGACGACTTTCATCGAATATTGTAACAAGTAACAAAGATTCCACTTCAAAAAATAATTTGTATGAATCATTTTTTCTCTTCACTCTATTATTCAAGCTTTTTTTATAACACAATTGATAAGATAATATAATTGTTTTTGTAACAATTTATAATTATATGGATAATCTTAACCATAATCCATAGTAATAACTACTAAATTGAATAACTAATTTAATAATTGATTAATTTAAATTAAGCCAATAGTATAATTTGACTTATTCTACATATGATGAGATTTAATCTAAAATTTTAAATTTATTTATATTGTAAAAATTGAAAAATAAAATTAAATATTCCTTATAAAATATTGAAATATTTATTTATAAAGTAGTATATATGACTGGACTTGTAAAATTCAAAGTCAAGCTCCCCAATAAAAAAAACGAAGATAAACAGGATAAAGTTTTTTATATTGTAAACCCAAGCAAGCATCACATCCGGAGTCGCTTTTAAATCATTGGAACCTGTTGGAAACCCACAAAACATGCTTTGATTTTTTTTATAAACTACCAAAATATACGTGTCAATGTCTATGAAATTTTAAAATTATTTTAAGGATTACATCAACGATCTTAACTAATTAAATAAAGTCATATCAATCTTTTCTATATGTTAGAACATGTTTGTTTCACTGAAAATATTTTTTTAAAAATATTTATCATAAAATGAGTTATATCTTTTGTAAAATATTTTTTGAAAAATATTTCACGGTGTTTAAAAGGGTGTTTGAAAGAGAGTCATGTCTACCAAAATTTTGTAGCCACTGCAGAGGTAAAGGGTATAACAGAAAACATTATCCTCGTCTTCCTAAATATCGGATTCGATGCTAAAATAGCCATTAAAATATATTATGTTATCTTTTTACATATACTCTTTTAACTATGTTTTCAACTATGTTTTTAAATATGAGTTTATTTAGTTGAACATCATTACTTTAAACTTTCACTCCAATTCTTATACAATTGCAAATTATTACTAAATAAGTTTACTTCATCAAATAATTAATTAATTAATAAAGACAACTTCATACATAAATTAAAACCATACAAATCAATATTTGTACATATGTCATTTTATATTTTTTTAGATCTCTCTTCAATTTGTTTACTATGTCAGATTAAGACACCTTCATATTTTTCTTTCGTTGTCTTCTTATTCTTCTCAATTTCTATACCAAAACTTTTAATTTTTTCTTCATTCTCAACGAGTCGTTTGCTACATCGCTTCGGTAAATCTTTATACTTCTTCTATTTCATTTTCATCTTCTTCTTCTTATGCTCCTCAACTATGTACTTTATTGCCTCTTTTTCCCACTCTTCATCTGAAGAAGAGCTTGAATCCGAATTGTCGATCTCCGAGTCAATGTTGTCAAACCCATGAACACATTGGCTGACTCTTTCAACACCAGAATCAGCATGAATCACTGAGGTGTTAGGTAGGTCCTCATTCCCAACTGAATTATTGACACTTACACATTGCTTCCGGGCTTCTTTTAAGGCAGACAGAGCAAGATTATAGCTCTCTTGAGAAAGGGAACCTTCTTCACTTAATTTTATGGCACGTCTACACAAATCACTGTACCGGCGTACCTTAGATTGGACCTCATCCAATTTCTGACTGATTGGACGTCTGCTCAAGGCAGCATTAGTCCACCGTTGCAAGATATATTTTGATGGGATGTTGAACACACCAGACATCTGGAGCACAACAATAGCATGTCTACAGAGGTAGCCCTTGTATTCAAAAGATCGGCATGAGCAATATATATCCGATTTAGATTCATTCCATTCAACCATATAATTTTGATTATCTCCAAAGTCCTTAACACTATATGTTGTGAGCATCTGATCTTCGTTTTCCTTTTTAAGATGACAAGCAGCAGCTCCTAAAACCTCAACTTGGAATTTCTTGAAGACTTCATGTGTGTATACAAGTGATATTTGTTTTTCAAAAGGTGATGGAGACTTCAGCTCAGGAGTCTCATGCCATGCATTAAAATCAGCTTTGGCTTCCTCTTCATATCTGTCCTCGAGAATAACTTTATACTGCTCTACAAATTCCCTCAAAGATGTTTCTCCATGCACATATTTGTCAAATGAAGAATTCAAACTGTTTGAGCGTAAAGGTGTAGATAATCCAGCAAAAGATGCATCCCTCATAAAGACTGGAATCCACTGCTTTCGATCTTCATACAAAGATTGAAACCCCTGCATCTCTCTAAGATGAAACTTGTCTACCATCTTCCACCACCTTTTTTCAAATTGCTCCTCAGTCCAAGACCGATAAATACATTTATCAAGTTTTATCACTAGACTATCATGCCATAGGCTCAGATATTCAAGATGCCTAGTAAGTTTCTCCAAGACATGCCATAAACAGAAACAATGGCGTGTACTAGGAAACACAGCAGCCACAGCTGCTTTTATGGCATTGTTTTGATCTGTGAGCATCACTTGAGGAGCCCTTTCCCCCATTGCTATAAACCATGTTTGCATCAGCCAAAGAAAAGAATACACTGTTTCATCTGCAATCAAAGCGCAACCAAGTAATGTGGGTTGAATATGATGGTTGACTCCAATAAAGAGTACCAAAGGTATTTTATACTTATTTGTGAAGTATGTAGTGTCAAAAGACACAATATCGCCAAAGTTACTGAAATCTTCCATGCCTTTGGCATCAACCCAAAATACATTTCTCAATCGATGCTCTTCATTCAAATCAACTGCATAGAAAAATTTTGGGTTTTCTTCCTGCATCTGCATTAAAAGTTCAAGGAGTACTTGAGCATCTCCTTCTTCTAAAACCAAACTCCGTCCCTTGTCATGCTGGTTTCTCATATAACCTTCCAGAAAGTCAATATTTTGATAGGCACTAAATAGTTTAGAAACTGCAGCCAGACTTTTCCGCCTCCTTCCAATGTCAGTCTTAAGTGGATCAACATTTCTGTGGCTCCGAAAGAAATGCGCTTGGGCCGGCAAGAGTTCATGATTATGCTCTTTTACAAAACTATAAACATACCACTTTCCATCCTGCCTTCTCTTCACATGCATGCTCGCTTTACAACCAATTTTCGGGGAAGGCCGAGGGTTAATTGCATCATCAGACTGTTGTTTATTTCCATATCTTATGCATGTAAATTTAGCATCAATAAATTCCTTGGACACCCTAGACCTGCGACTACTCAATTTAGCAGTGCCAAAGCCCGCAGACTTGGCATATTCTTTGTAGTATGAATAAGCAGCTTCATGTGATTCAAATTCCATATCCGGGTGTGGAGGTAAGATCGCATCACTGGTGCCAGTGCTAGAATCCATTATCTTATTGAGATTCACACTGCATACACTGCTTTTAACTCTGGTGTCCGCTTAAACTGCGTTTACCATAAAGCATTGTAAAGATAACCCGGAACGGAGACTAAAGAAGCCTTTGATTGCATGATTTCAAATCGATGGTACCAAAAAAATTGATGTAATGCATGTCAAGTCAATACAGGATCAAACAAAATACTAAAGAAGAAAGAAAACAATATCTCAGACAACAAAAGACATGTCAGAGTCTATACTATAACCAACCAAGTTTGAAGAAATATTTGCAGATGTGCCTGAAACTAGAGTAAGGAGTTCCATTTAACTATCAAAATCAAAATTACTAATATTTGTACCTAAATTGGATGCAAAATTAAAAAAATATATACTTAAAAAGATAAGCGAAGCGCGGAAACTGGGAAAAAAGTCAACATACCCTAAAATTGCTGCTGGGAATGCGGCGTCGGGATATTGAAGACAGAGGCAAAGTAGAGGAGCATGGGCGGCTTGTAGGAGGGGTTGAAGGTAAAGGAGATTGCGATATAAGAGTTGGAGTTTGAAACAAGAGGAGATGAACGGGTTAAGAAGGAAGAAGACGAGAGTGTTGATTGAGAGCTGTTGCAGACTTCAATGGAGAAGCAAAGGTATTTTCGCAATCAAAGTGAAATTCGGAATTTGGGGATGAATCAGAAATGGGCCTAAGTTAGACAGACCCAATCCCTTTGTTTCCATTTTTTTTTTCTTTTTAGTATTTGAATTGTTTTTAAATTTTTAGATTATATTGGGGTTTTATTGTTTTTGTAAGCAAACAATTAAATTTCTGAGATTAATAATAGTGAAGAAAATTATTTTTCTTTTAAAGATATTCGATTCGAGTGATTATATTTTTAAAATGTATGTATATTTTCAACGATTAATAAAGATTATAAGCCGATGCTATTATCTAATCATCCCAGACTATCAAACAAATAAATTATTTAATAATTAAAAATACTTTCACAATATAAAATAAACTGAAATTAAATAAATATGTTATATAATAAATTTTAGTTATCTGAATTTTTACAAGGGCACTATCAAAATATAATTAGTAATAACATTAACGATAATGGTGTAGTTATTAGATCATCAATTATTAGACCCGAATCTTTTCGGGTATTTTTACCACCTTAAAATCAATTGGGTCTTTTTTATTGTGGGTTTTGGTGTTCAAATCGGCTTCTTGCTCATTCTAATTCTATTTTAATTTATTTGCTTATGTTAATATATAATATATAAGGGGTAAAAGACCTTTTAGATCCTCCTTGATTTCTAAATTAGACAAATTGATCCTCTAAAAAAGATGAGTAATTTCTTCCATTTTTTTTGAAAGGGTGATTTCATATACATTTGATAAAGAGAGTTTACAAAACCGGACATACTAAGGGGCCTAAAATCTATTTGGAGGAAAAAAAGTGCACCTTTCTATGTCAAGATGAATGAATACAAACAACACAAACTAAACCCAAAATGAAAACCACAAACCACAAACTGTAATGCTAAAAAAGGATCCAGCCGAACGGAGCTCCCAGGAGATGGAACCACTTTGGCCTTCCAAGCAAGAACGCAGAACGAGAGAGCTGTGAGCAAACACCCACAGCCTTACCTGAACCAAAATGAAAACGGGCATAGGGCACCAACTGCAAAACAACAAACCCCTAAAGGATCATCTCCACAACACCAACGGGGATCAACTATACTGCATAACTAGCCATCTTGCTGAAAAAATAGCAGCTACAATCAACCTCACGCAAGATACCCGAAAAATAGACATCAGCAACCTGCAGAAACACCAACAACCCATGAAAAACCCCCTACTCCTCGCAGCAAACACAAGCAGACTAAAACAAATGAGCTAACACCCGAACCCTAAAAAACATAGCTCCAAAGGCAACAATCAGCCCCTACACAACCCTTCACTACAGTAACGCAAGCGATCGACATCGAGAGGAATAGACTACCCTAGCCAGACCAAACAACTCAACAGAAACAAAAGCAGGCACACGTAAGCATACAAAACAACTACGAGATTAGCAATCTCCTTTCCCTATCACGAGCTATAGACAGCAGACTATTCGGTGAGATAAAAAAATCTTGGATAGAAACAGAAGAATCAGACCACTTCCACTTACACCACAGGCCAATTCTTGTAACTGCAGACTCAAAAATATGATTTTCACAGCACATTCGGTTATTAAAAATGATGTCATTTCTCGCTAACCATAAAGACCACACAAAACCATAAAGAGCAAGATTCCATATTTGTTTACACGTCTTGGCAACCGACAATCCGTCCAACGCTAAGAGGAACGCTTTGAAGTCACCCGGACAGACAAAATGAATATTCCAGCAAGCAACCCAACGTTGCCAAATTCTCCAAGTCACTTCACAATGACACAACAAATGGACAGAAGATTCACGCTCCTTGTTACAAAAAACACAAAGACAAGAATCTATATCTAACACCCCACGTTTGGCAAGCTCCACTCTTGCCGGATTACGCTGCAAAATAACTCTCCAAATAAAAGCCTCTACTTTTGGAGGGGCAAGATTTGTTCACACCAACTTTCAGCAAGAGTCCATATCATAACCTACAGTCACGGCTTCAAGGCAATTTCGTCCATCTTAATTTCAAAAGAGAACAACTATATACAATTTATTATGATGTTAATGTTTCCATTAATTTCATATGATTTTGATTAATATAATAATGTTAGTCATTAATATTTATATATTATATCAATTTATTTTAATTATAAAAAATAATAAATTTAATGTTCAATATTTACAAAATTTGTTAATTATGTGTTATTTTAAAAATCATGTTTAAATTGATATAAAAGCAATAAATTATGTTTAATTTATTTACAAATGTATCATTTGCAGTAGTGTGGTGGAAACCAGAAATCTCTTATTCTCTGAATGTACTTTTGCTAAGTGCCTCTGGGAAGGTATCTTAAGCTTGTGTGGCCTAGGTAGAACAACAAAACCTTGGGTGGATGAGATGGCTTGGGGTGCAATACATCTACTTTCTATGGGAAGAAAGAAATCACAAGCATTTTAGAGGGTACTCTCGCTCGATTAATGACTAACTGCAAGCTGTCAAGGTTGTGGTACAGGTTCGACTATGGGGAAGAAGCATTAATCGAGCGGATATGGTAAATAATAGGCTTTGTACTGGCTGATGACTGCTTTCTTTGGGTAATATAAGAAATTTATATATATATATAAAAGTAAAATTTATCAATATACAAATCTAAATATATAAGACTATTAAAAATATATTAAAATTATGATTAATTGTATTACTAAAACTGAGTGAAATAGTGTAATAATTTAGCCACTATAATTTCAACACTTTCTCTATTTTTGGCTATGAAGAATTATGGTTCAGTAATAGTTTTTATTCAAAATAATTTTCAACAACTATAGTATTTTTTTTAATAGTATGAGGTAAGAACTAAATTACTTTGGGTTTGGGAGGGGCTGGTGCTCCTCTCAAATTTTTTGTTTGTTATAATAGCATTTTAGATTTTTAGAGTTTAAATATAAGTTAAATAAGGTTTTTGTCCCTCTCAATTTTTAGATTTAAATACTTATTGGATTCATGTTCTTTTGATATAAAACAATTTTACCTCCCTCAACATTTTATCCTAGTTTCGTCCCTAGTCTGAGGTGATTATAATATAGGATATGTTTATAATTTTCTTAACAATTGACAACACACACTCTACCAACATAACTGCGGAAACACAAGACCTCTAGAGAAACAACATTCTCTCCCTCTTTTGATAAAAAAGGAAAATACTACCATAGGCTTCATTAAAAACCGTAAGCCTAATTGGGAGAAAAGAGTACCCATGTTGGTATTAACAAAATAAATTAAGAGCAAATACTTGGTATTACGATCTCCTTTTGCAAACCACCGGCTTCTCGATTTTTGGTACTATAAGCTCTCTTCTTGATCAAGAACAAGATTAAGCTCATTTTTTTAACTCAATCTCCAAGTCTTCAAGGAAAGACGAATTAGAATTTTCGAAGCCTGCTCAATTCCTTTAATACGGGCAAGCAGACGTGATTTAGGCCTTCCAATATGACCAAAAGTATCAGTATTCCGAATTACGTTGGAGATTTCTAATGTTATCATACATGCTCTTCTCCTTACACCATGAATCTGGAACTAAATTATGAAACCCAGGATGGTCGTTCCAAGCATCAATGTAACGGAAAGGATGAGCTACATTACCACGCTTATTAGGTTCCGAAACAAGCAAGATAGGCCTATCATCCGAGCCTAATTTTTGTAGGTGGAATGCCTCAGACATAGCAAAGAAATCATACCACTCTTTATTACAAAGACATCTATCCAAGCGCTGAAATAAGGAGCCCCATTTCCACGTAAACTGGGGACCATTAAAACCCATATCTAAGAGGCCAGAATTAAATAAGAAATCACGAAATCTTGAGCAAATCTCGGTACGGTTATGAGAACCACCCATTCTCTCAGAACTGTTACAAATGACATTAAAATCCCCTACTAAGACCCAATGGCTGTTCAGTTCCGGTTCCAAAGCCCTCACCTGATCCCAAATCGTACGTCTCCTCAGAGTATTCGGACTAGTATACACTAACGTAATAAAGAAAGAATGACGGCTCACCAAGTCCAAGCAGTGATCATGAACAAACTGATTGGAAACAACCACTACATCAATCTTAACAGAATTACGCCACATTATCCAAATAGCCCCTGAAAAACCCGAGGCTTCAACTCTGAAAGAGAGCTCAAAACCCGACTTCTTCACAAAATTGTCAGCCTTCAAACCACTCACCCTCGGCTCCATTAGAGCAACAATATCAGGATTGTGTGATTGCACAAGAACTTTAAAATAACGTCAAAAAACAGGGCTAAGTACACCCTGTGTGTTCCAAAAAAATTGCATTAACCATAAAAAAAACATGGATAGAGGACCTAGCAAAACTAGGCTTGTTGCAAGGGGTTATACATCCCCTCAAAAACATTATTAGCAAACCATTGCACCTGTCCTTCAGGTATTGTCTGCAAACCATTAACATTTCCAGCTGGTTTACCACTCCTGGATCCATCAACCCCTTTACCGTATTGGATAGGAACCTCTACTACTACCTCGGCTACGCCTTGCTGATTCGGATCATTCTTTTTAATTATTGGTCCTCTTTTGGTTAATCCCTTAACATTAGCAAGGTTTCGAGTGACTGTTTGGAATTAAAATTCCTGATTGGTCCAGCTATGGGTCGATTAATCAAGTTCCGAGAATTAAGATCTTCCCCTTTTTCCACCACCTTGATAACTCGATGCTTATCATTATTCAACAACGTAGAGTTCAGAATTACCACCTCATCTCTAGAAGCCACTTGTTCCCGCGTTAGCTCCCTTAACACTATGCCTTTTCCACTTACATTCGATTGGGATGTTTTTGAGCCATTACTAAACTCACCCACAAAGAGGTCCTTCGATTGGATTAAATTTGTCTTCTCAGTCGATTTACGATCTCCCAAAGATTTCCTCCGATCACTCGATTCAGCATGGTTTTCTCCAACTTCCTTTCCTTCGACTAGTTTACTAGTATCGACCACCACACTAGAAACAGGAAAGGGGTGCATTTCACTTATGATAGGCACAACAGCAATAGATTGAACCTCCTCCGTACATTTAGTAACATCTGTATTAAAGAGCATCAAAGCGGTTCCCACTAACCTTTTCCCTTGTATGGACTTTATATTATTATCAATTATATCCAACTTTTAGCAGTTGTCACTTTCCTTCTCCGGTTTGAAACCTGCATCCATGGACCAAATTGTTGAAAGTATTAAAATAGTTTGGTAACTAACTTTGAAAAAATGGTTTTCAAAGTTTGGTAAATGTTTCTTTGAAAATGGTTTTTAAAGTTTGGTAAATGTTTCTTTGAAAAATAGTTTTTCAAAGCTTGGTAGATGTTTGTTGAACAATGATAATGGGATAATCACAATTAATCCCTAGGTTTTAGGGTGTTTACAAGATTAAGTCCTTAAGTTTCAACTATAAATACCCTAGCTCATTTAGCTTCAAAACCATCCCAAAAATCATTTCTTTCTCCCAATACTAGAGAGCTTTCTTGTGAGTAGTGAGTGTTTTGTAAACACCTATAAATTTTCTCTCATAGTAAAAGATCTACAGCAGTCCGAAGACGTAAGCACAATTGGCTGAACTCCGTTATCAATTTCGGGTATTATTTTTCCGCTTTTATTTCGTATTCTCACCAATATGACTATAGGGAAATTACTTGTTACTCGTTTATTTCCTAACAACTGGTATAAGAGCTTTTGGTTGTGAATTCTGCCAATTTTTTGTGAGGTTACTATTCACATGAATAGTAAATTTCGTGAATAGTGAAATTCGGTCGGCGATACGAATTTGTCGACGGAGGTGTTCTAATACACGGCGGTTCGCAGAAATTATCAGAAACGATCCAAACGAAGCCAGATTCGAGTAGGAGCGATGGCTGCAGACGAAGGGAAGGTGAAAATTGGAAAATTCGATGGTGCGGACTTTGGATTTTGGAAGATGCAAATTGAAGATTTTCTATACAAAAAAATCTATATCAACCCGGGAAAACAACCAGAGGGCATGAAGAATGAAGACTGAGCTATTCTCGACAGACAAGCCCTCGGAGTTATCCGACTGACGTTATCCCGCAATGTTGCTTTCAACATAGCAAAGGAAAAGACCACGGCGGGTCTTATGACGGCTCTCTCCAGTATGTATGAGAAGCCATCGGCCTCAAACAAAGTTCATTTGATGAGACGATTATTTAATTTGCGGATGACGGAAGGGGCATCGGTGGCACAACACCTAAATGAACTCAACACAATCACAACCCAGTTGAGTTCAGTGAAAATTGAATTTGATGATGAAGTTCGAGCTTTAATTCTCTTATCATCTTTACCAGACAGTTGGAATGCTACTGTTACAGCAGTCAGCAGTTCGTCGGGAAACAGTAAATTAAAATTTGACGATGTTCAGGATCTGGTACTGAGTGAAGAAATTCGACGGAGAGAATCAGGTGAAGCATCAACCTCCTCAGCCTTGCACACGGAGTCCAGAGGGAGAACTTCAGAAAGAAATTCAAATCGTGGCAGATCGAAATCCAGAAGGGGAAAATCAAGAACAGGAAATAAAGATTTTACCTGTTATAATTGTGGCAAGAAGGGCCACTTCAAAAGAGATTGTCGAGCACCGAAGAAAAATACCGGCGCACAGGAATCTGCCAACATGACGGAGGAGACAGGTGATGCTATGATTTTAAGCGTCAACAGTCCGATTGAATCATGAATTTTGGATTCAGGGGCATCTTTCCACTCCACGCCATGCCAAGAAATCATGGAGAACTATGTCAGTGGTGATTTTGGGAAGGTTCATCTTGCTGATGATGAAACCTTGAAGATCGTCGGAAAAGGAGACATCCGACTAAAGCTGCCAAACCAGACCACCTGGAAGCTGACAGGAGTGAGACATATTCCTGGTCTCAAAAGAAATTTGATTTCTGTAGGACAGCTTGATGGAGAAGGATACAGTACAACCTTTTCAGGCTGTGAATGGAAGATTACCAAAGGAGCACTCGTTATTGCTCATGGTAAGAAGACTGGTACTCTCTATGTAACCTCAAATTTAGAGAATATCATTACAGTAGCAGATGTTGATGGAAAATCAAACCTATGGCACCAAAGGCTTGGCCATATAAGCGAGAAAGGAATGAAGATACTTCTGTCAAAAGGGAAGCTGCCGGATCTAAAGAATGTAGATGTCGGACTATGCGAGGATTGCATCTTTGTCAAATAAAAGAAAGTCAGCTTTGCAAAGATTGGTAAGACACCCAAGGCTGAAAAGTTAGAGTTAGTTCATACTGATGTATGGGGGACCATCTACAGTTCCATCTCTTGCAGGCTCATTATATTATGTCACCTTCATCGATGATTCTACAAGGAAGGTGTGGGTTTATTTTCTGAAGAAAAAATCAGAAGTCTTTGACACCTTTAGAAAATGGAAGGCCATGGTGGAAAATGAGAATGGTATGAAAGTCAAGTGGTTGAGGTCTGACAATGGAGAAGAGTACAGAAATAGGAGATTCAGAGATTTTTGTGCAAACAATGGGATCAAGATGGAGACAACAGTTCCCATGACACCGCAGCAGAATGATATAGCAGAGCGCATGAACAGAACTCTGAATGAACGTGCCAGAAGCATGAGGATACATGCCGGATTGCCCAAATTTCTATGGGCTGAAGCTATTAACACTGCAGCTTACCTGATCAACCGTGGGCCCTCAGTTCCTTTGGATGGCAGAATACTAGAGGAAGTTTGGAGCAAGAAAGAAATAAACCTTTCACACTTAAGAGTGTTTTGGTTGTATTTCTTATGTACACATAGACTCTGCTGAAAGAAGTAAACTTGATGCTAAGTCCAACAAATGTGCCTTTGTTGGTTACGGCAGTGATGAGTTCGGTTACCAGTTTTGGGACTATGAAAATCGGAAGATCATTAGAAGAAGAGATGTCATTTTCAATGAGAATGTGATATACAAAGACATGTCAACTGTAGAATCAAACAACTCCAATACCAAAGCTGAAACAAAGGAATTTGCTGAGTTTGAGGAGATTTCTGGAAATGATGTTTAGATCAGTCCTGAAGCAGTTCAAGAAGAACCAGGCACACCGGAACTAAGACGCTCCTCCAGAATTTCTAAACCAACCCAATGGTATTCTCCTTCTTTGCACTACTTGTTGCTGACTAATAATGGTGAACCAGAGTGCTATGATGAAGCAATGCAAGTGGAGGATTCAGCCAAGTGGGAGTCTTCCATGAAAGATGAGATGGACTCGCTTATGTCAAATCAGACGTGGGAATTAGCTGAATTACCACCAGGCAAGAAAGCGCTTCACAAAAAGTGGATTTACAGGATCAAAGAAGAGCACGATGAGAGCAAACGCTACAAAGCAAGATTGGTTGTCAAAGGTTTTTAACAAAAAGAAGGTATTGACTACAATGAAATTTTCTCTCTAGTTGTGAAACTGTCTACAATCAGACTGGTGTTGAAAATTGTAGCTGCAGAGAATTTACATCTTGAGCAGTTAGATGTAAAGACAGCTTTCCTTCATGGTGATTTGGAGGAAGAAATCTATATGAGGCAGCCAGAAGGCTTCATAGAGGCAGGCAATAAAAACATGGTATGCAGGTTGAAGAAGAGCTTGTATGGTTTAAAACAAGCTCTTAGACAGTGGTACAAGAAGTTCGATAGTTTCATGAGTAGCAGTGGTTTTACCAGATGCCAAGCAGATCATTGTTGCTACATCAAGAGGTTCGACAATAGCTTCATTATTTTATTGTTGTACGTTGATGACATGCTCGTTGTAGGCTCAGACATGCAAGAGATTATAAACTTGAAGCAAAAATTGTCAAAGCAGTTTGCTATGAAGGATTTGGGTGCTGCAAAGCAGATTTCTTGGGATGAGGATCAAGAGAGACACAAAGTCAGGGACTTTGATATTATCACAGGCTGAGTACATCAACAAAGTACTCTCCAGGTTCAACATGCAAGATGCTAAACCAGTAAGTACACCTTTAGGTGTTCATTTCAGACTCTCCAAAGAACAGTCACCAAAGACGGAGGAAGAACGTGCACACATGGTGAAGGTGCCGTACGCCTCAGCGATTGAAAGTCTGATGTATGCTATGGTTTGTACCAAACCAGATATTGCTCAAGCAGTGGGAGCTGTTAGCAGGTACATGAATAATCCGGGTAAGGTACACTGGAAAGCAGTCAAATGG